AGGACGGGCCCTCAGCCGCGTGTTTTAATTACCTATCTTCCCGACGGTGTAACGGACTGGTGGCTTACAACATGCATGAGCAGTATGCATGAGGCGCGGACTTGATGGCTGCCCCATAGGATACCGAGAATCTGCAAGGTTAAGGTATTAATCTTCCCCTAGGTAGCTAATACAATGCTCGCGACATTGCTCCAGTCTCAGGGCTCTGAAATTTCCCCTTACGTTCTTATACTTAATAAGTCATACCATATCTTGTTTTTCTAATCAATAGCAAGAAGCTTAGAGTAAAAGCAGTTATCGCAAACCATCGGCTGATTATTCAGCCATGCCAACTTTCTCTTTTCCATTTAATCCTGGTTCGTAAGTGCTGATTTATGGTGGGCGGGTGTTTCCTATGGTTGGTTCACTACCTAGACTTTGTTACACGACCTCGCTGTCTGTCCAGCCATGTAGGCAATTAGCCCTGCTTGGGACAAATTACTGAGCCTATCGGAGCATATAGTATCGCTAGCTTCTTTAATTTTTACCTTGAGAGCTGAGTCCTACCCACGAATGTACGTGTCTGTTTGCAGCTCTAGCGTTGCAACTTCACTTTTCTGCCGATCCCTTCATCCAAGAATCGTTTGGAGTGAAGGCTATTCTTACTTTGAGCTGACTACCTGGCTGTTGGGGGCGATACCTAGCACATGTGAAGTAGGCACTACTCCAATTCTAATATGATATATCTCACCTCATATGACCAGCAAAAGTTCCCTGCTTCTTTTGTGTAACTGTATGCATAGGTACTTATGGCGCCCAACGTCAAATTCCATTGGTGCAACTACTGCATCCTTTGCTATCCGCAGACGCCTCTTCCCTAAAATGTACTCACTTAGTGACTGCTTGTATGGGTGGCTACTCGTCTCCAACGGTCGCTCGTGATTACAAGAGACACACAGGTCAGTTATTATGAATTGGCATGTATATAACTGCTCGGCTAGGCTACAAGTCACCGCTTATCATGCCTTGATACCGAAGGTAGGGCTCAAGTACGGGTGGTTGTTTGTCTTGAAAGAAAGCCATCTGCATACTCTTGATTCGGTCTACCTGGTGTTCTTGGGTAAGGTACATGCAGCTTCCAGTACACAATCCTACCTCAGCCGCACATACACGCTGGTGGCTTGCATATGATGACAATTAATTACTAAAAGTTTCATGTTGGTGCTTCGAACATCTTTACCCCTCTTTTGATACTTCCTTATCCACGGGAGACGAATATAATTGCGCGCTTAGGGCCTTCCTTGTTCCATCATAGCGAACATAAATTGTGCTGTTTAATGTGGGAGCGGCGATGGTTGTGGCGGTCGTTGTAGGCGTACGCCGCTCAAGTCTCTGACCCCTGTATTCTTCCCCATGGCCACGCGCCTCCGGCTGCGTGAGCTGTTCAACACCCTAACGTATACTGAAGTTCCAAGCACGAGGAGAATCACCATGCTAAAGAGGGCGATGCTGACTTGTAGGCCGCAAGTGTAGGCCGGATGCTCACCCCCCTAGTAGCGCCCGCTAGAAAACTCCACCGTCTCTTGGGGTAGCTGAGGGCCCAAGGGCTTCGCACTGATTTGAAACTGGTGCTGCGCCGCTAAAAGCCTGGCCACTAGGTAGCTGCCAGATCGTACGCAGATGATCCGACATACCTGATCTGGTTCCAGGATTGATGAAATAAGGTAAGGCAATCGTCATGGGAGCCCATTGGGCCGGTTTGCGTTTGCTTGGTGATCTGTGCGTTGTCCTGGATTTTGATCATTATGCCCATGCGTCTCCGAACACGCTTCAATGGTTGCACGAACCATTGTGCTCCATACATGGGAGATGCTGGGAACGGGTCATGGATTGGATCTGGGCGGATCGTTGCGGTGCCTAGTCGCTAGCCTTGTAGACTTAACATTAGAGATATTCGCCATCAATGGACATCATGCACGGAGCAGATACACCTGCCGTAAATGTTAACACGGATGAGGTAGCCAAGGTGCTTGAATTGTGCTGCGAGACGGTGGAAGAGGCGGTGGAGCTGGTGGAGGAACTCAGGGAGAATGACCCCTGAAGAGCCACTTTACCGCCTCTGGAGCTGCTGAGCTGTCTCCAATTGGGTCCTTGCCTTAACCTAGAGCACTCCTCGTCGCTTGTTTGGAAGCTTCAACTTCGCTTCCCCCATCTGCCCATCAAGAGGCTCTTCTCCTCCCTCTGCACTCTCACAATGCGGCCAAACAGCTCTTTGGCGCTCCTCAACGCCATTTATTCATTTACTCTGGCGGCTGCAGGCAGCCTGCCCCGAGGAGTCAGCCCCGAATGTACGTAGCAAGTGCCATCGTGGCCACCACCGACCGAACACACCCCCAACCTGCCAATCCCAATGCATCCATTGACTCTTGACATTTGCTAACCGGCCGCTTGTTCCACTCTCCTCCAGTTGCCTCGCACTACCAGAACAAAGACCAATTCACATGCATCACCAACGCCGCCATCAGGCTGAGCCTCAGCCAGGTCAACGACGGCACCTGCGACTGCCCCGACGGCTCTGACGAACCTGGCACCGCCGCGTGTGCTTCTATCGACCCTCTCTCCCCCGAACAACCCCTCCCCGGCTCTGCCTCGAGCACGACCAACACATCCAACGTCCTGCCAGGGTTCTGGTGCTACAACAAGGGCCACATCGGCAGCTACGTGCCCTTCTCGTACGTCAACGACGGCGTGTGCGACTACGATCTCTGCTGCGACGGCACCGAGGAGTTCGGCCACAAGGGGGGCGTCAAGTGTGCCAACAAATGCGCCCAGATCGGCAAGGAGCACCGCCGCCTGGCGGCCGAGAAGCGTGCCAAGATGGAGCGGGCGGACAAGAAGCGGCAGACGATGCTTTCAGAGGCTCAGGAGCTGCGGCGGCGGATTGAGTCACAAGTTGACGATCTGAAGGGAGACGTCGCAGCGCTCGAGGCTCGGAAGGAGGAGTTGGTCCGCAAGCACCAGGAACTCGAGACCGAGGAGAAGTCCAAGGTCGTACGCGGCGAGAAGACAGGGTCTGGTGGCAAGCTTGGAGTGCTAGTTGGTTTGGCTAAAGCACGGGTGGACGAGCTCCGAAATACGCTTGACAAGGTTGTCGGTCAGCGGGACGACCTTCTGATCAAGGTGGAGGAGCTGGAGACGATCCTGCGCAAGTTCAAGGAGGAGTATAATCCCAACTTCAACGATGAGGGTGTCAAGGCTGCTGTCAAGGCGTTTGAGGATTATGCCGCAAGGGAATCGACCGCCAGCAGTGAGGATCTTACTGAGGCGGATATCGACAGTGTTCTCGCAGAGGATACTGAGACGAATGGTGTCAACTGGAAGGAATTCGAGGAGCTGAAGCAAGTGGGCGATACTGACATTCGTACGTCTGACATCATGCACCTAATCCTAAGCTTGAACTACGTTAGAAATACCGACTTGCTAACAATTCTTCACAGTGTACAATATCGAAGCCTACCTCCCGCCCTTCCTCCGTTCATTCATCCAGTCTAAGCTCGAAAATCTCCGAGTCTGGCTTATCCAGAACGGCATGCTGGCAGACAACCACGAGCCAGGAACCGAATCAGCACTCGTCAAAGCGGCGCGAGAAGCTGTAGAAGCGGCCGAGAGAGACCTAAACAACAAGAGGAAGGATCTTGAGAGGGAAGAGGGGGACCTCAGCAAAGAGTACGGGCCGTCGGACATCTTCCGGGCCCTCAAGGACAAGTGCGTCAGCGTCGATTCAGGCGAGTACACCTATGAGCTCTGCTGGCTGTCCAAGACGTCACAAAAGTCGAAGAAGGGTCACGGCCATACTGGGATGGGTAACTTCAACCGTATTGACTGGGAGGAGGCGGACGATGAGGAGCGCCTGGACGGGCGAAGCCTCGGCAAGGGTCAGCGCATGGTCCTCAGGTACGACGATGGGCAGCAGTGCTGGAACGGACCCAAGCGAAGGACGGATGTCTGGCTGGCTTGTGCCGAGACGGAGGAGCTATGGCGAGTAAGCGAGTCAGAGAAGTGCGTCTACAAGATGGAGGTCGGCACCCCAGCGGCGTGCGAGCCGGCAGAGAAGAAGGAGCCTTCTGGCAAGGACGAGCTTTGAGTTGCTGGCGACATCGTTTGATGGATATAATGCTCCTTTGTTGGTCGGATCTGTCTGCAGGTACACGGCCTAGGTTCCAATGTTAAAATATATAGACGCCCAACTAAGCATCCGGTTCAAGGATCAATGTAGATATTGCATCTTAGATTGCTTTCCATTACCAATTCTACTGGCGTAGGGTAAGACCGTCATTGAATCAAGGGGATTCAGCAAGTCTACCAGCTAGACATCAACACGTATCTTAAATTAAACATGTCGAAGCAATAAAGCGCCAATAACTCCAGCTAATCACACAATATATGAGGCATCACTTTGTTTCTTTTCTCCTCTTTTCTTTTTGTTTATTGTTGATATTAAGATCAAAGCAGCATCAGCTCCGTCAATAGTTGCGGGAAGATGATGATCCGCTCCGGTGCACAGCCAGAGCGTTCCAGCCGCTCAGCCTCTTTCAGCCGCTCGTATCATCTGTCATCCATGACACAACGTGCAGCGCTGTGTCGTAGCAGCCACAGTGGCCGTCAGCACAGTCCAGGGGCGTTGAACGCTGATTCATCCACTGCCGGCTGCGCCCACAATTAATTACAATGCACTGTGGGCAAGCTCAGAGGAAGTCAGTGGGGACACATACGTAAGGTCGCCTGTGAGCCACACTGGCCCAGGAAATCTGCCACCTGACGAAGCTATTTGCTAGCCTGCATTGATCGAACTCAGCCCTTTGACCCTTGCCTGTTCATCGGCATTTATTATCTCCAGCAACCACGTCGTAAACTTCGTTCCTCCCTCCTACACTTACCTACTCAACGACCAACAGTCTCTCTCCTCTACCTCGCACCTTGCCTAAAGACCGCGACGCGTTCCATCCCATCCCACCTTCATTATGGCCCCTACCATCGAGAACCAGCCCATGGAGCTCCCCAAGGCCCCTGAGCAAGTCCAGGTCGCGCAGCCCAAGATGAGCCAGGCTATGGGTATGTCGGTGTCATTCATTTTCCCACTGCCGCCAATTACCCCATCCATCCTCACCGACCGCTAACCATCCACAGATCCTCAGCGCCCTCACGCAGAGTCCGAGTTGAGCCTGCGCGGCGGAAGGGAAGGTGAAGGCATGTGCCCCGGAAGATTCTGCTTCATCATCCCTTGCCCAATCCCGTGCAACTGCTGCATCATCCCCTGCCCCTGCTAGATGCCTACATCATCCAGGAGCCAAACTGGGGATGTGAGAAAACGGCGGCGCGAATGACAAAATCTGGACCTTATATATACCTACGGGTGGCTCTTATACCCCTGCCTTTTTATTCTATGATAATTATTTAGAGCATTGTTATTTTTTTCGATAGGTGCTGGAATCAAATCTTGAGATTTCGATCGGCATGTGCCTGATCCGCTTACCCTACACTTGCCACTACTGAAACCTTGCTACGTGACAATGTGGAAGACTGCCCTGTTTTGAGATGGAAAAGAAGCAGAAGGCTTTATGCATGCCTATATTGGCAGATTGTTGACTTCATGACTTGAATTTTATGAATTAACAACAAATTCTTTCTTTGACGTGATGTTGCTTGAACGATATTAGATGGCTCCCAACACGAAGTTTCCTCATGGACTACGTACTTCATTGAAATGTAACTGGCCGCATATTATACTGCACCGTGAACCTTTGGGTCTATGTGGCTGGAAAACGTCATTCATCTCCAAAGCATCCACACCTGAGCTGTAGATGGTTGGGATAGTTATGAACGAAAACCTGCTCAATAGTAATATCTTGAGAGATAGTGGCTCACACTAAGGGAATTAGTATTTCGATGATGTATATGTCGGCTACTCTGAGCACATGATGATTTGATAAGTTTTAATTGCCTAGTTGTGATAAACTAAGTGCTAAAGCGTGGTTCAATTGCAATGAAATTACAAAGCCTAGATAGAACTTACTTCAACGTCCCACTTTACCTTATAGGTAGGGAAATGACTTGTACCTTCTCACACTCATTTTGGCCCGTGAACAAGCTTAGACGGGAGAGTGATAAAAAAAGGCAAGGTCTTAAGCCACTGACTACCAACAGTCAAATGGTGGATAAGTATGATGAATAATATAGAAGTGCAGGCCTATTAACGAGCAAAAGCGCAATCAGCATTCTCCTGATCGTCTCGACAGCGGTTGAGACGCCGCATGTGAAATAGCAATAGCTTTCTTCTGACGGAAGCCTTTTGGGTCTTTATACATAAATAGAGGTCATTCTATTCGGCAAAACTCGTACCTACAGTTATTGCGGGGAATTGAGTAGTTGAAAGCATGAACTAGAAAAAGGTTGCCTCGGTTATGCGTGGATTGAATACTAAGATTTTGCGAAGAACCTCAATCTTTGTCAACCATCTCATGGTTTCGAACTAAAGAGACGTGTATCATAGATAAGACACATTAACTTGTTTTCTCGAAAACTGTAGGCTATTTTAGAAGGTTTCGGGAGAACTTCATACTTTTCATTACAAGGAGGCCTTCCTCGGCTAAAGCCATTTTTCAGACCAGCCTCGGGGTAAGGTGAAGGTGGTTACACCCTACGATGTAAACGGGGGACTTGAAAGAACATAAAGACATTAACCGAGGGATTTGGTGTCTGGTGTAGATATATTACTCCAACTCTCTGTAAATACTACCTTGGAGGTATATTGACACTGTATTCATATATAAGGCATGATAACGTGCCTAGTTTGAATTATATATTCAATGTTCTCCCTATCACACGCTACCGGAAACATATTTCCAGAGGTCAAATAGCCTAGCTTTCCTATCCAACCCATATACACAATGCCTCCTGTTGGTGGTTTCCAAAGCGACACTGTAGATCAGATCCGGCGATTCTTCGAAGAAGAAGCGAGAAATCCTCCTATCCCACGCCACTATGGAGACATACCCGTCTCTTACGACGTGATAACTAGGGACTGGTTGACAGCCACATTGGCCCGCGACTGCGAAAACACCGTGGTTAAGAGCTTCACCCTTGGCGCAGAGGACAATGGATCGGCTAACAGGCGCCGTATCGCGATTGAATGGGAAGGAGCCGATGCTAACAAGCTTCCGACTTCTGTTTTCTGCAAAGCAGCGCATTCCCTGGAGAATCGGATCATCCTGTCTGTCGGTGGGACTTACAGTGAGACCTGCTTCTACAACGAGATCCGCCCTAAGATGGATATAGAGGCACCGTGGGCCTACTATGCCGGGTACAACCCCGGATCCTGGGCTGCTATAATCATGTTGAGAGACATGAGTGCTTCGACCACATTTTGCAACCACAAGTCTCTCCTAAGCAAGGAGCAATTCGCCGAACAGGTCCAAATGCTTGCCAAGGTACATGGGACATTCTATCGATCCAAGGAGCCTTTTTTCGAGCGTCTGCTGGCCTATCGGCAAAGATTTCAGAATCTGATCAACGTTGGTATTGAGGGTGCTTGTCGTAACGGGTTCCGCGCGGCAAAGGGGGTCATCCCTGCGAGACTGTTCGAGAGAGAGGATGAAATCTGGCCTGCCACTTTAAAGTCAGTTGAGCGCAATTATTCTCTGCCTCCCACCGTTGTCCATGGAGATGTCCACCTCGGTACGTTGCGTTTGATTCTCGTCCCAGAAAAAAATCTATCCACTTCCGCAATTCCTAACAGAGCTAACATCCATAGGGAACTGGTATATCACCCCAGAAGGCCACATGGGCCTCACAGACTGGCAGGCTATGGCAAGAGGCCACTGGTCCCGTGATTTGGCATACGTCATGGGAACCGCTGTCCCTGCCGAGTCTCGCAGGCTCTGGGAGCAGGGGATTGTTGAGCTCTATGTCGCCGAACTGGAGAAGGCCGGCGGGCCCAAGACGTCAGTGGAGGAAGCATGGCTCGAGCTTCGGAGACAGTCGCTTGGCGCTTTGGCTTACTGGACTCTCACTCTGACGCCTTCCGAAGCCATGCCTGACATGCAGACAGAGGCAGCGTCGTTGGACTTTATCGGACGCATTTGCGCACTCATGGACGACCACGATGTTTTGGATGCGTTTGACTTCTAAGTTGCGATGGAATAATAGAACATAGGCTTAGATCTAGCACTACCCTGAACAAACCAAAAGAGGGAATTGCTGGGGTAAAGCAAGAACACCTCTTAATATTTCAAGTTGTTGTGGTACTAGCTTGGGAGGCGGGCTTGTTCACCATCCTCCTGGCTTCTACCTAGGACTACTGACTGTAGCTCGCTCTTTATATTCTTGGAATCATCTTCAAGGTTATCTTCAATGTTGCGGCGAGGATTTTCATTATACAGAGACTGCTTGAGGGAGGCGATGGAATTTGGCCCGCCACTTTAGCCTCCTTCATGGCCCAGATGCGGCTCTTATCTAAGTATAACCACAATAATAACCAGCTTTCACATATAATGAAAATTTACTATACCCATCCCATGGCCATCATATAAAGCCATCACGTGTATTTCTTTTCAGCAGGTGATAGCCATCGGGATTACTAGATATCATCGCGGCACAGGGATCAATCTTCGGATTACTACGAAGCTATATATCTTGCTTTGCCTGTAATCTCATCAAAATGTTCACACATTATTGTCAATCACTACTTGCAATTCTTTCTCGTGGCAATGCGTTCTGTTGCCCTCGAGACCCTCCTATGTCAGGCCTGGTACCGGTCCCCAGAGTGAGCGGTTGCACAATACATCCTACCCGCGACAGCGACCACCACCTCTTAAATAAAACAAGAAATGAAAGATGGAAAGCCGTCTTTGAGATTCAAGCGACAATTTAATTAGTCTGCCGCCGCAGTATATCATTCGGTGGCAACCGCGGAGGGCTTGTTCTGGAATATACTCGTGGAAGATCAGAGACATCTGCTTCTACACCAAGAGATTCTAAACGGCACTATTAGAAAAATCAAATGCCGACTGGAACTGCGTAACAAACCATGGTCTATATCTGGACGTTTCAAATAGAGCTTGAAAAGGGACACGATAATGATAGCGGCGGAGGGGATAGCTACCAGGACTCCAAGCAGGGAGATAAGTGCTTCGGTGGAGAGCGCCATGATTCGTTTGCCATATTGAGGAGAGTCTTCTTGCAAAACAGAAAGAATCTTACAATTATTTATACTTGAGTTGGATAATTTTGGATTCTCCTCCGCCTGGCGTATAATGCTGAGGTTTAGTAGACAAGGGGGTAAGCGACTCGAGAGACGAGTGCCAAGACGAGTGCTAAGACGAGTGCCAAGACCAGTGCCAAGACGAGCGCATAAGACTGTGCTTGAAACTCTTTGAATTATCAGAAAAAAAAAATGCCGGCTCAGCCCCCTAAGAGTAAGCCGTGGCGTTTTCCTTCGACCGTCATTGGATATAAGCTGCATACATTACCTATTGTTCTACAGAATCTCCTGCACACCCTATTCGCTCCTTGGTGCTCAGTTGTTTTCTTACGCGGTTCGCTCTCAGAACAACGCAAATGCCCTTCAACTACTTAATGACGGGTTCACTGCTTACCGACGAGCATGCCTCGACCCCCTCAAGTCCAAAAACGCTTGGGAGGCCCAGAAGGAACGAATTCACTCTCTTTATATCGCCAAGGACCGTACTTTGAGGGAAACTACCAAGGAGATGAAGGTGACTCATGGCTTTGACGCAACGTAAGTTTGTCCCTCCGAAAGAGTTAGTACACAACCTTACCAACTTACTTTAATCAAGACAAAGGGAATATGTCAAACGGCTCAAATCTTGGGAGATGTTCAAAAATGCCAAGATGCAAGATTGGAAGCATGTTCGGGATCGCGACCTGGATAAGAAGGATACAAGGGTAAGCATCAGCGGCAAGGTTATCAGCTGCGAGAGGGTAAAGCGGGCAACACGACGATACAGATTTGCACCTGATGGCGCTCCGGGACCAAGTAAGTCTGAGACCGAAATTAAGAAACCAGTAGCTAATTTACATCTAGTAGCACCGCATCATTTGCCTAGTCGAGGGATTGACATTCGTACGCCATCTGCTGTCCCAGCCCCCCTCCCAGGTTCCAGCGACCGCGACATGCCATCACGCAAGGACCAGATAGACCTCATGCTCCTCCATCTTGGCCGCATAATATCCAGTCTTGGCGGGTCTAAAATGGCCGACCGTAGAAAGGGAAGGGGGGCCAGCAGCTAGCAAATACGCGAGCGACTCGCATAGAAGAAAGCTACCTATGTTAGACAGAGTCTTCCTACTAAGAATAAGTAACTTGTTTTAGATGTGAGTCTACGTTTAGTTATAAGGGGGCAATAGATATTCAACAATTCGTGCCTGTGAGGCTATTGAGGCGATAATTCTGGATGGTAATGTTGAGGCTCTTCGACTAGATAAGCACTTTCCGAAAGTCTCATAATCTCTATATTGGTGCTTAATAGGATCTAGATCAGTTCTTGATGAATAGGCTAATTCTTCTAAGCTACATGAACCACAACATGACTCAAATCGGACTGACTTCATAAAGTCGTACAATTAGATAGCCCGCAAAGCTAAGTAGGAGATAGCAGGCATATACAATAAGCTTGCTTGGTTTTTCGTACGAATTGAGCCATGGCCGCCTCGGTACCCTCAACTGGATGCAAGTGCCGACTTATCAGGTGCCCAAAGCTGCTGCCGCTCTAGCTCAGGAGACGAGCCTGCTCGTAATGCTCCTGGCTTCTGCCTAGCACTGGCGACTGTAACTCGCTTTCTGAATCCTGAGCATCACCGTTAAGCTCTTCATTGTTGAGCATCGCAGTGCGGGGCGCGACCCCGCCAAAGATCTCATCCATGTCCTCGAGGGCACGGCCTTTGGTTTCAGGATAGAACAGCCAGACAATCTGGAATATCGATAGTTAGCTGGGTAATACATCAAATGTCATTTGAGTTGACGACCTACCGGAGCACATGCAAAGTTAACGACCATAAAGAAGAAGTAAATGCCACTTCCCCAGTGGGCCAGGCCCAAGGGCCAGATCTTGGAGACGAGGATGCTGCCAATGGACCCGCCGCTTGCGGCAAAGTTGAGGCCACGAGCCCGGACGGAGGTAGGGAAGATCTTTCAATAGTGAAGAGTCAGTGTCCCGTTTTTGCCTCGAAATAGAAGGGGTCTGGTCTAGCTGGACTCACCTCGCTGCTATACACCCAAGCTGCTGGGCCAAGGCCGAGACTGTACCCCATGGCATACACGAATATGAAGATGATGCAGACGACATCTGCCCCTTTGTTTACATTCTTGGGATACGCAATTGGGAGAGCGCCGTTGATCTGTAGCTCTAGTTAGTTCCCTGGCTTTGAGGAATGGTTTGGGTTCAACTCACAAGCATGGCAACACCCATAATAAGCGAGCCCCCAACAAGACAGGCTCTCCTCCCGATGCGATCAATGATCCACATCTCAATAATAGTCATGCCGATTTTGATGGTCATCTCAATGGCTCCAGCCATAAGTGCCAGCTGGGTGTCTAAGCCAAGAGCCCTGAGCAAGCTGGGGAGGTAATACTTCATGACAGCAGCGCCGCACATTTGGGCTAGAAACTGAAGCAGGAACGCACGCCACAGGCGAGCGCGGAGAGGAGGCTCGCGAAAGAGTGACAGTGAGAGGGAAAGGGATGAGCGCTTGAACCGGGGGTGAGAATCGACGTCCAGAGTGATGGCGTGCAATTCTTGGGTGATGGCATCCGGAGGAACAGCATCTTGACGGAGCCAGATGAGCACTCGACGGGCACGTTCGGTGTGGCCCTTTTCGACAAGCCATCTAGGCCTATTCAATTGCAAAGTAAGGTTAGAGATTGATGACCGGACTTCTTTCCAGTAGACGAGGGGATTAATCTTACGTATCTGGGCAGAAGGGGAGGCCGGCAGCGAATATGGCGGCGGGCAGGAGCTGGATGAGGATTGAAATGCGCCACCCCCAAGCTATTCCAGACGGCTCAGTCCAGAAGCTCATTCCATAGCCAACCCTACGATCGTGCGTGTTAGCTGATGAGGAGGAGAAAGTATGTGCCAGAGAAAGAAGTGGCGGCCGTATCTCACCATAAGCCGCTGGCAAGACCAGCGATAAATCCAACGTGATTGATGGTGACAAACTTGCCCCTCTCTTGGGCTGGGGATATTTCACTGTGGTATCTAATAAGCCAGTATCCGTTTATTGACCCAGTGGAGGGAGAGAGGGAGGGTGCAGAGATAGAGACGGTCATGATGGAAAACATACCTCTGGTAGAGAGGAACGGTGGTGCTGACAACACCCACTCCGAGTCCACAGCAAAACCTCCCGGCGGCCATGACAGTCAGGCTCTGGGACGAGGCCATGACGACGGCACCAAAAGCCAGGGCAAGGGTACCGTACAGGGCGGCATAGCGTCTGCCCAGCCAATCGGCAAGAGGGTGCGATACGAAGAGGTAGGCGAGGAGGGTGCCCAGATAGTAGACGGCAGTGATGGTCCCCCGTGCGGATGGATCAGGGTCTCGCATAGCGGAGCGCCATCCAGGGTGGACGAGGATAGAGGCCAGGATGCCGATGTTGTAGCCCCAGATGGAGGCGCCGACGGCCAGGTGCAGGCAGAGGCGGTAGAGCCTGGCGGTGCCGACGGGGAGAGGGGAGAGGATCATTGTCGTGGTGGATGAGGATTACACAGGGTGACTGATGATCATGTTCATTGTCGCCAGCGACGTCGAAGGTGGTGGAGTTGTGGGATGGAAGCCTCGATTGGACGCCTACCAGGACTGATGTGAGGAGGGGAGGGGTCAGCCAGATGGAAGTCACATCACTGGTGGACTCCCAATGGAGTAGATGATAGGTATCGGGCGTCTCTGGGACTGGGACCCCATGGGGCCTGGATAGCTACCGATGTCCCTTGGATTTTTCTCAACCACACGAGACGAGAGCCAATCGTCAGGGCCTGGGGACAACTATATCCTTGTCCCGACATTCAGGACTTTGTAGACTTGTACTGCCACATCCCACCACAAGTACGTACCGCCGGTCCCAGGGGTCAAGGCGTCGGGCAAGGCAAATGCCAGTACTCCGTAAAAATGGGCACCTGGCGCCCCGCCCGTAACCCTCTGGTTGGTTGGAACAGCAGCTGAATGCAACATTCGATGGCCATTTGAGGGACCCGCGGAAGGGGGTGTGTTAGTTTTCCAGCTTGGGCCTATCAACGATGCACATTTTGTGTGGTTGGATTCCCTGCACGATGCACCCACAAAAAACCCCCATGGCCACAAGCACGCGCATGCGTGGGATTGGAATGTCTTAGTATTGTGTGCTCCAGCAATTCGCCTGGCCAGCAACCTGCGGTGGCCATGAAAATTATCTATGTATTATAAAAATGCCATCCCCAAGCACTCTCAAGATGCAGGTGATATATATGTAACTACGCTCTACTTCTTCCCTTTCTTCATCCTTCCTCCTTCTCTTACCAACATTTCCCCTCCTTAAATACGAGACTTTCATGCTGTACTTGAAGCAAACCATTCTATACCCATCTCACCCATTGAACAATGTCCGGCAAGCCAGTACCCCAAGAGCCTGGTCACGACGTCCAACATGCCTCTCCAATTCGGCAGTGGTTATCTCAGTCTATAATAGATGAGCCCTTCGCTATGCCGCAAGCCCCAGAAATGCAACACAAGATGGCGGAGCAACCCGATGGACGACAGACACGGCTTGAAAGGCTCCGAGATGAAGTGTGCGCCATCAGCAGTAGATGTGCCACTTCACACAAGCCAGAACCCTTGGCATCAGATACTACGCCACTCCAGCACAGTCTGGACAGTTCCTGGAGGGATCTATTTGCCGTCGGATCCCAGTTCCAGCATCAGAGCGACCCATCTTCCAGTAACATGAGCCCGCTAGACCTCACCTCGACAGACAATCCGCCATGTTCCAAATAAGACACAAGGCAGATAATCCCGTGTCCTTGAAGTTTCACACAGCTGGCTGGCAGAAGATACTGTCTACCCAATATGCTGCAGCTCTTGGGGCGAAAGGGTCTACCGAGCCAGTTGCATGGCTTGAGATATTCCCCCTGTTGAGCCAAAGGGAGAATGCTCCTTGACACCACCGCCCGAAGTAACATGATTGAACGTAGGATGGAAATGGGATACATGATCGCCTAGGTCTACATATAAAAACCTATGTATGTTTGGCTCAAAGTCTACGATTGAATGATTATTTTGCAAATAAAAGCCGTGTTAACTTTTCCACAATGCCTGGTTCCCACTATATGAGTGAAGCACTTTGTCCGCACTCCATCAATATAACCAGTCACTAGTTCCTGGGTAAGATGTAAAAGCTGGGTGAGGCATCATCGCCCGATTTCTGCACAGCTTCATTCCTCAGATCCTGCGCAGAACGATTTTAGCCTATAAGATCTGCTTGAGCTCTCGACACTTGCAAGCTCCGAAGATGGCATTAGGGGCGTTGAATATCTTGATGGCTGCATCTGAGGCGAACGAAGATATATCACCTAGCTGATGTATTCTAAACATACCTACTCTGAACAAGATTCAAGTGTTGCTGGGGCAAATTATGAATGGTACGCCGAGGTTGAAATCCTTGAACCCAAAGCTATGACGTGGGAAGAAATTGGCATCTGGGAACTGAACAATTCAATAGTATGAGGAGCACATGTCTGGGGCCTTGTCTAGGGAATTTCGAAATGCCCTGTCAGCTTTGATATGGGCTGAATGAGTAAAATCTTCTGATCTACTATATCCTTCGGATTGGCCTATATTTTTGCTAATACAGGAAGCCATGTCTGGAAGATATGGTAGTGGAGATCATCCCAGATGTTCATCGCTTTCTCAAACACGACCTCCAAGTCATGACGATCTATCTCCTCTTTAAGACCCAATTTCTCCTCATCGTCATCATAATGATATTCGTCTCTTTCATCGTATTCCTCACCTTCCTCATCAGTGTCATCCACCTCCTCATCGCCAGTGTCGGCATCTTCCCTCCACTGAGGGGAGTCGTGTTATGCCTCATTCAAAGGAGTGCTTAAGCTGGTGTGTTGGGAGGCCCTACTGAAAAGGTCTTCAGAGAATTGAATGTGTCAGTGCTTGACAAAAAGTAAGTTTAAAAAGAAATAAAGGAGCTTCCCATTATTGGAACAGTAGCATGCATTAATTGAACGTAGAGTTTGTCCGTGGGATGCTTACCCATCTGCTGAACCACATGTCGAATCCCCTTATGAGGCGGTACTAGCTGAATTCGGGTGTGCTACATAGGCATGCATAGTACATGTTCCATAAGTACCTTGCGGCAAGAGTCTCCGATGTGTAAAATTCCTTGTTATTGATTGCGCCCTGCAAGCTCTTGACGGCTTTTCAGAAGTCGGTTGATTCGAGCACCTTAGAAGCTGGTATGCGATGAGATTGTTGGACCCAACCGTTGCAATGTAGTAGCCAAAGGCTTTTCGATAACCTAGGAGATCAGAGTTCTCAAAAGCCAGATATCCCGATGGAAGTGGTTTCTCTGGTTTCGAAAAGGCCGACTAGTCGAAAACCGACGCGGTCCGCAGGCTTGAGCAAAGCGCGGGTGATCTACAAGTGAAAGGTTTCTTTGATATTATTATATATATCTAAGTCTTATTACCTCTGTCTAAGTATTATTATCCCTATCTAAGTAGTATTATTCCTATCTAGGTATGATCATTCCTATCTAGGTATGATCAGCCCTATCTAGCTATTATCATAGGTTGATGATGCGCTGCCTCAGCTATAGAATGCTTTACGTTCATCCAATGAGAACAGCGATTGATAAATCAAGGTGTCTGAACAGGTGTTATTGAGAAAACAAAAATTGGATCACCTCTGATTGGATATATTCACAAGCTCGAGATGCAGACTACCACACGACGACGGAGTTCCTGTTTTCGTCACAAGGTCTTTTATTCATTGTCAAGTATTTCTACGCTTCGAGTATTCTGAAATATATTTATATTCATTGGTTTCAGCCAGCATAGTATATACAATATACACCTAGTAGCAGCATCCCTACGACTGCAAGCTTCTTAGATGTTGCTGTTGATCCAGGAGATGAAGTTACCAAGTCTGGTGTAGACACCAGGGTATCCAGCGCGAGCGCAGCCCACGCCCCAAGATACAACACCGACGAGCTTGCCGTCAGAGCCAATGACAGGGCCGCCGCTGTCTCCAGAGCAGGAGTCCTTGCCACCCTGGGACAGGCCAGCGCAGAACATGTTGTCTGTGATGGTGTTGACCTCGCTGTAGTCCTTGGCGCACGTGGCGCGGTCGATAACAGGGACCTTGACGTAGCTGAGGTCCGCGGGAATGCTGTTGCTGTTCTCGCTTGTAAGACCCCTATGAGACAGTTAGCGCTATGGTTGAGAAAGAGGTGCACTGAAGATACATCTCTTCAGGGAAAGATGCTTCACATACCAGCCTGCGACGGTAATGGTGCCAGAGGGATCCTCGCCGGATGAGGTCAGACTGGCATAGGCGATGGTGCTGCTGGTAGCGATGGAGGTGGAGAGCTTCAGGACAGCAACGTCGTAGTCGGTGGTTGAAGCATCGTAGCTAGGGTGGTGGGTGACCTTGGAGACCTTGGAGGTCTTGCCACCAGAGGCCCATTTCTACCGATGATTAGTATTAATAAAATCATTCTTTGCTGGAAGAAATGGCTGGCTGCAATTGGGCCGGACAAGCTCTTGTTTGGCTCTGGGTGCACTTACAAGGGATCCAGCGCGGATACTGAGGGAGGAGGCGGCCAGTGTGTTGCCAGACTCATCGACAGTGCAGTGAGCGGCGGTCACAACGGTGTTGGCGTTGATAAGGACGGCACCGCAGAGGGTCGAATCAGTGGTAAGGCTGACAATGTAGGGGAACTGTCCAGATGTAGCCTTGCTTCCGCCAACGATGGCGATGCCTCGGCTTTCAACATCCGGGACTGCTGCTCCCATGGTGAGAGCAGGCAGAGCCATAAGGGCGGCCAGAGCAAGCTTGGGTGCCATTTTGATACCGGGTTGTAGAGAGAAGTGAGGATTTAGAATAGAGGGCGGAAGGCTGGATAGAGAGCTGAGAACTATACTCTACCGTGGGAACACTCCGCCATATTTATACTACGAACTCCAACTGTGAGTTACAACATGAAACTTGAAGTGCTATCAGTCCTCCGCCCAATTTGGAAGAAGTCGTGCGAAATCCTATCGGAGGCGGCCGGCGAGGTTGAGGATGTAAAGCGAATCTTGATGTCCTTCCAAGTTGGTGTTGGTGAATGCACGAGTGACAAGGAGTGCCTAAGCCGAGATCGGTGTGAGTTGCATCGTGACGGAACCCCCACCAAGGGACCAAGGAATGGGATGGGATCTACAGTGCAATGGCCTAATTCAATTACCTTAACAAGGATATCGATGACAAAGTCCCCTAAGGGCGATTTGCGACCAGAAGTTCTGACACGAGGCAGGCACGCCGGCATCTTTATCCTTGCCAAGACGCTAAAGGGATATATTTGAATAGCGAACATCCTATTTGGAAGTCTGGTCCGCATTTTGACGTACGAAGGGAAGGGCATCAAGCTGACTTATCTGAATGTTGACTCAAATCACGATGCAAGTTTTCACTAGAGGGGGAATCAGAAATACCTTGCTTTTGAAATTTGGACAGATAGAGAAAGACCTTTCTGAGTTCACATGATATGGATATCATCGGATTTCGCCATCCCGGATTGCTCCTTGGTCACGCCTTCGTCGTGGTGGAGACTGAGTGAGATGCCGGGTCTCCCTTGCTTTTGCGCGGCGTGTTTATTGCCGCACATCCCCCTCATGAACTGATATATTTCCTTTAACCAAAATCATTGAGTGGCGCTTTGAAGTGGCTGTGCTGATTCCTGACTCGGTCAAGAGGAATGCGTAGGAGCCAGGGAACAAGTCTTGGACTCACCCGATAATATCTTGATGGAAAGGATGATTTTCTATACGTGATTTGTTACGGGGGATGTTTCTGCCTCGATTTATTCCGATGAGTGCATTCGGATTCCGTCAGACCCTCCTCCTCAGAAGTGCCAAAGACTTTCGGATTGCGTTAAAGGTGAATGACATAGCGTCTCATTGCAGGCCTCGGTTGTCACTCGGAAAGACCGGCAAGACTAGCAATTGATCTCCTCCCCGATTTGAATGATTAGAGAGATTGCCACCCACAATGGGACCATTGAATGGGGTAAAGGAAAGCTTAACCTGCCTAAATGGACGTCTCCCGGTAAGCGATCAGGTATGCCCCATATATGATCGGGCCAGTGAAACGAAGAAGAGCCATATAGACGGACAAAACGTCAATGGAGATTTGACATGTAACAGAACCACGTGAATAAGTAATGCCCACATGGTTGTGAGTACTGCAATTCGAAGTGGCGGTCTGCGTATCGATGCATAGAGTCTGATCTTACGGACCTGACCATAGGAATTAAGCAAAAAGAGTAGACTGATTCCCAGGATGTGGTGAACGGGATGACCTTATAGGTATTCGAGTCAGTTAGATTGTTGTTATGGCACGTGGCTTGTCAGCAAAACCGAAGATAGGCTGATGTGCGCATGGCATCTAGCAATCCGAGCGTTCGCTTAGTGTGTACAGAACATGTTTTTTCTAGTGACATTCATTGATAAGAAATTTGCCATGCTCTTCGAGCGGGTCCCTCTTTGAGCGAACCTTGCAGCACACTGGCCATACTCGATGATGTTGACAGCTTCGACAGCAGGTGGCATTTGACGGCCAGACATTGTCCTCAGCTACTTTTATGTAACCATCGCAAGTTAGTGGTGCATTGGAAATCTCTTAGAGCCGTCTATGAACTATGAAATTGATTCAGCCTTTCAACAAACTAGCATCTATGGTCACAATCATCGTTGACTTTGGCTGATGTGGGTGGGCAGATTAATGAAGTAACTAGTGATCTAGATACTATTCGATACCTAACTTCTAAGAAGCCGATGTCTCCTAAATAAGCTTTGTTGTTTCAACTTGTGCGCAATTTGCAATAACATGTCTTTCACTTATGACCGGCAGTGCACACATTGGATTGACTTGAAGATGAAGCGACCCAGGGTTTCGATATCATCCGACTCCCTTGTTACTCGTATAAAAGTCTGAGTCATATCTTTCCGTATTGGCTCTAACATTTCGTCTTTTGCTCTCAACCCCCAGGGATATCACTTCAGGGGCATCGTAAACCCAAACGCCCGACCTCGTTTGCCCGATATTCCACCCCCCAACGATATAAAGTGTGCCTTCGTTAAAGATATAATTTTTTTTCGGATCCGCCCAGGCAAAGGGCCTTTCGTGCACCACCCTCTTTATCTCAGGAAGGTGTAATAAAGTGGAACGCCGTGGTTTCTGCCTAGCATCTACGCAACAGCCAACAGATACAGCAACCAACGGTTAGAGAAGATGACTCAGAGTGTCAGGCGCAGTCGACTGCGGTCACATCAAGGGCGCGCCTCTTCCATGCCATTATGTCGAAGCAGTCTGAAACTTGCCATATAAACAGACCACCCACCCCGATTTCTTTGTGGAAGACCAGCAATTTACTTACCCCTTCAACATGCACACCATTCGCACACTCAGCGGATCAACTCGCGATGAAGCGCTGGATCCGGCGCACAGGTCAGTCAACTATGATGACGATGGCGCCGTGCGCACAGTTACGACACGCAGCCGTCAGATCTGGCTATGCCGCCCAGAAGCCTTCGACTTCGATGATTCCACGTTTTCAAACCCGGACACAGGCGAAGCCTTCTCTAGGATAATCCGGTTCATCCAGGATTTGCCAGGCGAAGAGTTGACGGCCCTCAAAAACCCGGATACCTCCTCAGTACATACTCCGCTCCGCGACATGGTGTACGATATGTGGAACCACGTGTTTTGGGACGTGGCGCAATTTTTGGGCCAAGTCAACTGCAACACTGGAACTTTCTGTCCTCCGGCACACGAAATTCTAGCCATCAGCTATCCGGAGACCCCAGTTGAGGTTGGGAGGATGCAAAGAGTGGCGCAGTTACAGTCCGATTGCAACCTAATGATTGGGGCTGTGTATGTGGCACCTGGCGTGAGACTTCGGTTTCTGGTCGGGCAACCTGATCAAGAGAGCTTTATGGAGAGTACATTCAACTCCGAAGCATTTGGACCCGATGTCCTCGTTGATGCAACGAAAGTGACTGGATGCTACAACGAACCATACGTGCATTGGGTACGGCGGAACAGAAACATCCAGGTCTTTTTAGAAGGACAACCTGATCAGCCTAAAGGTGGACTGGCAGCAGTATTTGTATACGGAAAATGCCAATATCAGCCCGAGAACATGGCTCACCCATGCACTCATTCATGCGACTGTGGTGAAGTTGAGGAAGATGACGAGGGTGACGAGGGTGACGAGCAAAACGAGCGAAACGACGATGACAACAATGAGCGCAAAAGAGAGGATGGGCAATAGGTCGTGCTTGAATTTAGTGTGGTGGAACGAAAAATGTCTGCTTGGTGATGCTTCGTATTGGTGGATAGCTGACGGTAACCCGTCGTTTCATAGAGTGGCAGAGTTGTAGCAGAGCAGACGAAGAAGAAAGCAATTCGTCAATGTGATAACTAGCCAACTGTGTCTCTACTTGCAACGTCAACTACACACGCTGCTTATGGTAGATGGCGAAATGCCGTCGTCTTTAGTGAAATGAAAGCTCTTTAGATCCTATTCAACGCTCTTCATTTCTTTGTCTTGCATTGTATACTTCATCATATTTTAGATACAACCATGATAATTACACGCCGGCAGCCAGTAGATGGTCCTTTCCAAAGGGGTTCCTCTCGTATCTCGGATCGCCAACCATCTATACTATGTTCGAATGGCTTTGAATCCTCTAAATATCGTTCGGCCTTGACCTCGCGAAGATTTGGAAACTCTCCACTGGTGATCAACTCGAAAATTTCGTTGTTTGTGCCCTTGCGTTTGTATTCATCTGCCGCCAATCCCATGTATAGCCTGTCATAGTGCAGATAAAGCGTCTCAAGGGAACGCGGTAGAACGCTTATAAGATGAGGCACCGCTGGGTCGAAGGGATAAAAGGTGCTGTATCCAACGAGATCTCTTTGTGCTATTTTGAGGTCGCGTAGCTTGTCAAGATCTTGAAGAGAGCCAATGGCCCTATTGACGTATCCACCGAACTCAGCAGTCTCTAGGTCGAGTTTGACCAGGTTTCTTCCATGCTTCCGAAGCACAGTGCCCACGGCATCCATAATGATTTCATAATCAGCATCCTGAATTTCCGCTGCTCGGTTGCTATCAGCGAGGAAGATTCTGAGGCTCTCCAAATTGGGACAAAGCTGGAACATATCCTCTATACCCTTAGCATCCATGATGCATTCTGTCAATTCTAGAACCCTTATGCTGGATGTGAAATCAGGCCACCGCCGTTTAGGTACGTGCGTGGCTCGCCAATCGAGGCCCACCGTGCGCATGATCTCGACACCCGGGTGCATAAAGGCCGCCTCTATATCGGTGATGGGCGTGGAGAACACGATACTCCAGTGCTTCAGGTGTACTTCCTTCAGCCGCGGTAGCCCAAAGTTGGAATAGGCCCTGACAATAACCTTATCATCGTCGTATCCAAAGCCATAGTCCGCATCCCCAGACTCATCGTCCTCGCCTCTCTTGGGCAGAAATGAGGTCTTCTCCAAATCAAGGTTTCCGCTCAGGATCCAGGAGAGAAGTAGTGGCGTCTCCCCAAACGTGATGTCTAGCGACTGGACATTTGGAGTGAAAAGGAGGCAGAGAGATGCTGGGCTGATACGTTCGGCATCAAAATGACTACTTTCAAGGAATTGCCGAAACCGCGGTGGCAGGTCCATCACGTGTATGGCCGACGCGAGCTGCCCACTGTCAACCCGCAGGCCCTTTCCACTCCTCCCGAGATTATTGTCAACGGCCAAGATGCGAGTATTTTGACCGAGGCTAGGGTGGAGTGCCAGCTCGCGTATGGCTCGTATAAAGCCTGTGTCATTGTCTGGCTCTACGCCCTCTAAGAAGAGGTTCTTGTAGAGTAGAGGTTGTGCGCATCGCCTGAATTGGTGGCAGACGAGGCACAACGATGCGAGAGTGAGGCGGTGAGACCTATTAACGAGGACTCTATCCATCCACCATTGAGTCGGAGGCAAAGTGCATTCAAAACCTTTGAATATGTGTCCCCAGACCTCGTCTGGAATACGTTGTATAGCCGACATGATGACAAAATGTGATGATGTAGAAGTAAGGTCAAGGTGCTTGAATTGATTTAATGGATAGTGGGGTTATTTTGAGCTGCCATACCGGCTTGCCCAATGAGAATGAGAATGGAAGATTAATAAGAGACAATGTTCCAGGCATCTTGCTTACTGGGACGAGGTAAATGGAAGTAAGCCACAAAGGGAATGCTGGTCATGGTAGAATGTAACCTATCACACCAATTCCGAGTACTCGAGAAACACCCGGAATGCGACACGCAGCTAGAAGAATTGCAATAACCCAAACTTCTCCGCGAGGAATAGAGGTTCAACCGGACGAGAAGACCAAATATGAGAGATTCATTAGATAATTCATCCAAGCCAGATGTATGGGATGCTTGAATATAGAATTTGTTCATATTTGGTACGTCTAGCTATCAAAATCAAGACTGTTCTAGGTGTACTATTGATTGTTTCTCATGAGAAAGGTTGTTTTGACAACCCGTTCATTCTTCGCTTTGCACAACCTCGACCGAAATGTTCTTGTCCTCCGAGTAAACGCGCAGACCTGCGACACATACAGCATTCCAAGGTAATTTGCCCTCCTCCTCATCATCATCATCGCTGTCATCGCTGTCATCCTCTTCCTCATCCTCATTCTCATCATCGTCCTCATCCTTATCCTCACCGGCCTTCTCTTTAGCCTTGTCCTCCTCCTCGTCGAACGACTCGTCTTCTTCCTTATCTTCCTCTTCCTTTTTCTCTTCCTTCTCTTCCTTCTTCTCTTCTGACTTTTCCTCCTTCTTTCCCCCTTCATTGTTTGCTGCCGAGGGTGCTGCAGATTCACCAGAAAAAGGCGTAGCCTTGGAGTCCGAATCACCTTCCTTCTTCTCATCTTTCGAGGTAGTTCCACTCTTCTTTTCTCCTTCCTTAGACTTTTCTTTGTCTTTTTTCTCTTCCTCGTCCTTTGATTTCTCCTTTTTATCGAGCTCCACCTGCATCGCTGCCATGGCGGACGTCATCTGATCCATCGCCTGCTTCATTTGATCCTTCTCCGCCTCTTCTGCCTTTTCCTTCTTCTTCTTCGCCTTCTCCTTCTCCTTCTCCTCTTGCCTCTTCTTTACATATGCTTCATCCTCGTCTAAAACTCCAACCTTAGCGTGAGCGATGTCGTATAGCAGCCCCTTCTGCTGAAGCTTAAGGGGATCAGCAGTAGAGTATTCCTTGACGATATCTTCAACGGGCGGCAAATTGGAACGCTCTGCAAGGACCCTGGGAATCACATCATACTTCCCGGGCTGGAGGAATATCTCGCAACTGGCAGACCGATCATTGCTATCGAGCTTGCTGGATCGCGCTTCTGCAATGGCCTCGTCTGACCCAGAGGGCAGAACGATAAAGTTCATAGTGAAGTCGTACGGACCGGCCAGGGCTTGGAAATATCGTTCGTCAAGCTAGAATTTCATAGAAGTTAGCAACTTCCTACCCGAGCTCTAGCGTTTTCGGCTGGGGATTACCTTTGACAAGACAATGACTGCAAGACCCTCCTCCTGAACATTGATGACGAACTTCGTTTTGTGATAACCAGCAACCCATGCGATTGGGAGGCTCGTCCACTGCTGAGCAACTGTCCACCTCGCGTCGAATAAACGGGTTCGATAAACCCGCTGGAAGTTTTGGAGCATATCATCAAGCGTCATCCACCAAACGCCATCATCACCGAACTCATGGCGAAGCTTTCTCAGCATGTCTCCAGTCCATTCCTTGGACCCGTCCGACCAGGGGCCATGCCACTCTCCTTCACCGCGCATCGTTTCACCCCATGGGTTCCTGGTGATGGAATTAGCTTCGGCAAATCTTGCAGGCTGAGTGGAGAGTATTTCTTCTGCAAGAATACCATCCAGAAGAGATACTTACCTGATCTTGACAAGCTTAATCTTGTTTTCATTCTCGTCAGTTACCTCAAGCGCCCGGATGATTGAATAAGCATGACCTAGAACGATGCCGTTCTGATCTCCAACCCATGGGCTATACGAAGGAGAAAGGCCAAACACGAACTCGCCATCATCTTGGTCGGCCTGAAGCAGCTCGCGCCAAAGCTTTTCCTTACGTAGGATAGAAGTGGTGAGAACCATACTTGAGACACCGCCGGTCATATCTTCAACACCGCCTCCAACACAGCCGGCGACAAGAGCTTCATAATCGCCATGAACCTTGGCATACTAGAATAGAGGGAAACAAGGTGTGAGCTTCAATAACATGGAGGGAGAGGAGCAGAGGTAATGTGAGTTCCAGATGGGCGGTACTTACGGCTTTCTCAAGCAGAGGCAACCATGTCTCGTTCTCATCAGCGCACGATGCGAACGGGAGAGCCTCAGACCCAGTCTGCTTGTTCTTCTTCCATTGCTTGGCCTTCTTTCCAGTAACATCATATACCTCCTCGTCCTTGCCATAGTCCACCTCCTTCAGATAGAGATTATCATCGATAATCGTAGGAATCCACTCTCCATCCTTGAAAAATACAAAGCCATAGACGCCACATTCCTCATCACGAGCCACACAAATCTTGTTCATCAGGTCTTTACGATGGGCTATATTGCCTATTGCAGCAAGCCACCAGCAATTGCCGAGATAACCCTGCTTGATATCAGATCCAGAGAAACCGTCCACGGTAAACTGAGGATTGTCGAAGATCCAAGACACACGATGGACAGAGCCGGGCTCATAGGAATATTCACAAGACCTCACCAAGCCACGAAGGCAGTGATGCGTCTGCAGATAGTGGTCACTCTCGATCTCGAAATCCTGGTCAATGAATTTGGAATTAGTGCTCTCGCAGCGAGCTACAGCCTTCCTAACCATTTCGAGGCACTTGGACCGAGCAATCTCATAGCTCTGGGCAGCATTACGCACGCCGATAGAGGATGGTGCGAGATTCGCGGCTACTGTCTTGTAGAGATCTCTAGGGAAGATGGAAGTGATCTTTCCGGGATTCTTGTGGTGGAACTTTTGCCAGAATTTCGAGATGAGCGCCTGGGGGTGCTCCTTGGCAGACCTCTTGGGGGGCTTTACTGATGCTGCGTCCTCCGACATGATTGTTGTCAACTGTAACGACTGAAGGGGATAATATGGGTGATCCGATGATGGGAGAAATTGCAAGTCGTGATCTGTTCGGATTCGGGGCTGGGGAAAAGAGCAGACTGCATTACATTTATAGACTGGGGTGCCAAGGACCAACAAGTCTGGTCTGGAGCAGTCGTCGTGGCCAGGATGGAGTCCAAATGATAGCCAACTGATCACAAACACTGTTCAAGCTATCGACGCCGAACCCCCTGCCCTTTACTGCCGAGCCTGGTGGTCTTGTCACACCACAAAAAGGGTAATATTCGTGGTCGGTTGCCTGGTTGGTTGTTCGCGGCCAACGGCATCGAATATAAGCCAATGGCCATCCACCATATCATCCACAATGCTCAAGGCCATATGCGTGCGGCTGACCAGTGGCGCCTTTTTCTCACAGTCTACTCACCTAGTCGGCGCTTACTCTGACCAACTGCATATACCTGCAGCTGGCCACCGCCTCCCCAGGCCCAGTCCAAAAGAGGCATCAAGATACTGGCCCAATTTTCCATTACCTGGGGCTAATCAGTGCTTGAAGATCTAGCAATGTCACTAGAAAGTGTCAGCAATCGTGGTATCAATCAGGGCCATCAATTAAAATCTACATATCATTATGATTTGAAATAGGAACGCCACCAAGAGCGGAGAATGTTACATTGGCTTACCGGCTTACCCTTTGTCCTACCGCAACATCCTACTGAATAGGGGCTAAAGATGACCAACTGCCTTTGTCTAAGACAATATCACACACATAGCGGATACAACAAGCGGCCAACAAACTGCTCCCTACTGTGAGCCATGGTTCGCCCCCTTGATCGTGCAGATATTTGTTTCAGCCCTGACGCCTATCCCGCCTCACACCATTGATTCTGACGCATTCATGTGAGCTTGAGCAGCCACTCATTTTGAATCCTAGCCACTTGAACAACGCTATTTCGCATGGCCGCCAGCCCTAAAAGTCAGCCCGCGCACCGGCCGGCGCTTTCCATGCATAGTGGTGAACGGTCCCCTGTCCCTGTCTTGACTAGCCCCTACATGCACTTCAGTAATTATGGTAAACAGACACGGACAGACACAGTCAGAAGAATGGTATTTATCTGAACGTAATTGGCAAAATCGATGGCATCCCACTATCTCATACATGGACCATGATACCAATGTGACGCCACCTCATTGTAGCATGGGCTCGACTTCGCTTCATAGCTTCTAAACGCACTAATCAAGGTAGATTGAATAAGTAGAATTCGGGTAAACTGAGCACGACAAAGAAATGGAAGATGCTCACTTCCTTAGATACAACTCCCGAGTCATGCCGATTGCATGTAGCAATGTGAGTACATCTTCGCGTATCGTATTCATGGTTTGTGAACTTATCCTTTCAGTTTTGCTAACTGCCTCAATGGACCTCATGCGATGTAGTTCTCTGGAATGTCAATAAATGTCGAGTAGCCTCTCCAACCTTAAGAAAGGAAACAGTTTTCAGTCTTATAGAAGGTTGTCCCTAAGAGAGGTAAAGTGGCAGGGCCTAGTTTAGGATACAAATGCCATAATGAGAAATATACGTATGGCTTAATAACTGCTCGACGTTACCTAGCCGAGTATGAATAAGCAATGGCTTGATATGAAATTCTTTCTTCTCTTTGTTTTTTTTTATTTGGGAAATTTATGTACAGAGCATTCATAGCAGAAAAACGAGAATCTGTTTTTCAGTTCCAAAAACGGCGTTTCCAGCCCTGAATAGCAATAGCATTCAGGAACTATAAGTTCTATAGCCAAGGATCGGGCTCGCCGTGTAGATCGAGGAAACGAGCGAAAGCAGTAGTAGATCGTCCAACTACATCTGATTCTGGGTTAGGTTCATCGATGGAAATTCGCTTGTGTACCAACTGGATCGCAGTAGCAGTTCCGTGGCGTCCGTGGAGCTCGTTTTTGCAACAAGACAGGCGGAGTTGGCGGATTTTTGCGGACTTTAAAGCTCTCCGTTTTCAATATTAAGGGACAAATAAGTATATAAGTTGAATGGGTTTGATCCCCCAATTTTCCTAATAACTTTCCTTGACGTGTACCACACCACCCCGGTTCGCGAGACTGAACAGACAAATTTCATTTCGTAACACAGCCATGGCTCGCTCTATTCTTGTCGCGGGTGCCACCGGAAACACTGGCCAGAGTGCGGTGGAAACCTTATCTCACCTTTTAAATTCTAAGCCTTCATCTTCTGGCTATAAAATCATTGCGCTTACACGGTCCAAGGATGGTGCAACTGCGCAGCGTCTCGCTAAACTCCCTCTCGTCCAACTTGAAGAAAAGAGTTGGGTTGAGATTACACCCGAATGGCTTCAAGAGAAAAATGTGGAAAGGGCTTTTATTGCACCACATCTTCAGACCAATCAGTTCGCAGAGGAATCTACCTTCCACCTCGCGCTTCTTCACGCAAATGTGAAATACGTGGTACGGATCTCAACTGCTCATCCGGCAGTCCGCCCGGACAGCAAATCTTACTACCAGAGGACACACTGGGCGATCGAAGCGCGGCTCAGCTCTCCAGAATTTGAGAAATTGCAATGGACTTCCTTACAGCCCAACGCCTTTGGTCCCACCTATCTGTATTCGGCAGCTCAGTTCGTCAAGAACTTTCGAAGCACAGGAAAGCAAGACACCTTGAGTCTTATGGCTCCGAAGGATGTGCCTGTGCCAATTATCCATCCGCCTGAAATTGGAGTTGTCGCTGCTCATCTTTTAGCTGAAGAAAACACGTCGAAGCACAACAAGGCCAAATACATTCTGAACGGACCTGAGGGCGTGACTGGACAGCAGATTGTCCAAATGGTTGAACAGGCGATTGGAACAAGCGTTGAGAATGTCATATGCAAGGATATGTCATCTGTCGATTCGTTATTGGAGGGACTTCAGAACGAGTCTCCGAACGTTATTTCGTCTCTCAGGTATGCTCTGGAGGCGAGTTGGGAAGGAAAACCATCCGGCTCTACTAGTCCGGAAATCCTCGATCTAGGAGTGATTAAGCATACACCTGCTGAAATGTTTAACTCCTTGATTAATTGAGGATTTTCAGATGAGCCTGTTCTAACAGCGGACAGCGAAAGAACAATAAGGCGCTGATGACTTTATCCGAGAATGATCAATATAAATTATTTTATCAACCATCAGTTCGTTCACGAAGCCAACCCATGTCTTTATGCGAGAGTGTATAATGCTTTTTCTATATCTACTAGTAATATTTGGGAACTTCCACTGAAATAATCAGTGCAAGTTACAAGATAGAGGTTAGAAGCGTGAGCTCTCACAAGGCAAGGTGCTATGTACAATTATTGAATCATCTTTCGGCAGTGTACTTGCAAGTCAGCGAAACCAGTGGGAACTCACACATCAAGGTACCCGGTTTCAATCACGGAATCAGTAAGTGCTTATGAATACTTTACTGATGACTCGATTACCAATCAGTAAGGGATCTCGAAATCCCGGCCGCTCTATTCTGCGTTTTTCGGCAATTTATATACTCGAGATGACAAAAGCGAGATGACAAATGGCGATGACCATTGTTCGGAGAGAAAGCACGAATCTTGGTCTGGCGTAGTACTTGAACGAAATACTCCCTAACTCTTACACTGCTACGGGCAACAGTCTCTGTTCCGTGAAAGTGCTTTTTTGACATCAATCAGCAAACATTATCTCAATACATGATCAAATTTATTTCCAGTTGTTCTACTTGGTTGCTTGATTGCGTCAAACTAAATAAAAGATGTCTTTTCAGCGAGCATTGCTCGTAAAAGAACTCGGGAAACCGGTGGAACTAGTTCATGACCAACCTATCCCTCTCCCAGGCCCTGGGCAGGTCCAAGTGCGAGTCTCTGTCGCAGGCCTCAACCCTCATGACCAACGAGTTCGGGACCTTGGCCAATATATCTCTCCCCCGGCTGTGCTTGCCAACGATGTAGTGGGCAAGGTCACCAAACTAGGTGATGGTGTGACGGAGTTTGCCGTGGGTGATCGCATCGCCTACCAAGCACAGTTTACGAGGGAGCAGAGCCAAACCGGACTTCAGGAATATGCCATTGCAGATGTTCTAGCATCGACAAGAATCCCATCATCGATTTCAGATGACCAAGCTGCTACGCTTCCCTCCAACATCTTTGCCCCTCTAGTTGCCATTTTCGACACGTTCGAAATTCCCGCCCCATGGACGCCAGACGGAAAAGCTTTCGACTACAATGGGACAACAATTCTCATCATTGGAGGTGGAACCAACTGTGGGAAATTCGCCGTCCAGCTGGCCAAACTGGCTGGGATTGGCCGTATCATTGCCGTCGGAGGACCAGCAGTTGAGCTATTCTCATATGGAGCTACGCATGTGCTGGATCGGCATGGAGGATACGATGCTGTAATGTCTAGGATCAAAGAAGTCGTCGGCGACGACTTGCTATATGCATGTGACACAATCAACCCGCCCGAGGATCAGATACTCGCACTCAACGCTCTTTCCAGCTCCAAGAAGGGGATTCTAGCGACCCTCCTCCCCCGTGGGGTGGCAAACGATCCGAGGATAACCGAGAAAAAGGCAGGCTTTGTGTGGCATAAAGTTATCGGAAGCTCTCATGCGAAACCAGCTCTGGCGGTTGAATTCTGGAACCGGCTTCCTGAATATCTTGAGCAGGGGCGAATCACACCTTTGAAATTCGCCGTTAAGCAGGGTCTAGAGGCGATATATGTAAATGAAGTTTTGGATGCTTATCGTGATGGCAAGTCGGCCACAAGGTTACATGTGCATATATAACCAGGATAGCACGAGGCGTGAGAATGAGAATAACTCCAACTAATACCTTGGTTTTTCCCCTTGCTGATAAATAAGCCTAAGCAGGATCCTGAGGTATATTCTGTATTAATAAGTCCTCGGCTAACCCGCAAGGTACTTTATATAAGTTCCAATTCGAAGCCATCATTCAGAGTAGGGCCGTGACTCGTCATCGATTCCAACATCTGTGATGAGAGGCCATTGCCGCTCTGTGTCCATAATGGCATTGAGATATCTTGGAGCTGCTGTCCAATATTTATGCTGCCCTCCGTGTATGTGCTGATATCTGGCGGGTCCAATGGATTTTCCAGGGTATCATACGTCAAGTCTTGAAAGGCCAGATCTCCTGCTGCACCCAATGGCAGCCTTCCTACCTGGAGAGGGCCAATGATGGGTTGCCTTATCATGGCGATTTTCACGCTCATAAAAACGCTCGGGCAATATCCTAGGTCAACTTCTGTGATCTGCCCAGTATCAGGCAAATGCAGGATGGAACTCAACCCGTAACGTTCCGCATCCCGGTAGACCTGCAGCAGGAGAGCTCGCGTGATCTTGTGGTCGTGACCGGTGGTTTCCATAGAGCGGAGAATCGTCTCAAAATTAACCAACTCATTCACAGGCAATCCTTCGGTCGGACTATCCCTGGCAAGGTACATGTACACGCTTGCTGCGCAGTATAGTGACAGAGCGCATAACACAGATTTCTTACAGCAACATTAGCTGGGGCCATTTTGGAGGAGACAGTGAACATACATATATCAATGAATGGGGAGAAATGGCCTTAATGATTTCCACAATTACCTCCGCGCTGATTCTCATCCTGCCCAAGCTTTGCTGTTTGGTAGCTTCAGAGTGACTATGCTTGTCCATCATCTCAACGGCCGCGTAGTGAAGGCAAATGGTGGTGGCGTGCAAGTTCAGGTTGGTATGGGCTGCGACATGGTCACATTTGTAGTCCGGCGACTGAAACCGCTCCGGTAGAAACATGAAGGTGCTGGAAATTTTATGATCAAGGTCTTTGTGGCGCTTCCAGAATGCAGCGCCATGAGAGCGGCCAGAGGTATGATTTAGAGTAGTTTTGAAGATGTGACAAATGATAAGCGTGGTAGCAAAAGCAGAGTGGGAGGCCCCCTGGAAAACTTCATCGAGAAATGGAGCATCTTCTTTCTGTCCAAATAAGAACGCATCTTCCGATGCAGGAAGCCGTGTCATAAGCTATTCGAGTATGAGTATTGGATAGTCGGGTGATGGGATATGTCAGGGCTCACGTCATTGGAATATATCAAACTAGCCCATCCCGTGGATATACTAGCATGCGAGTCGATAGCAAAGGCGCCCCAGAACCCTCTCCGCTGCTGCTCAATCTCAATCCAGGCTGCCGAGGACATTGCGGTTGATGCTGGCGAAACGTCTGGATCGTCAACTCGATCAAGACCCAGAGAGTGCACGAGGCTGACAGACTTGGCCGAGTTCATGGACGCTCTTGTAAAGAGCATGCATTTCGCTTCAAACCCGGCCATAATGATATATGTCTGTAAATGGCGGAGGGTCAAATGATCTCCATCGCCCTTGCAAGAGTTAGCACGGGAGCCCTGAGGGGTGTTGTGGTGTCCCCCATTTACCTGCATCTCATCCGCGTTGGCATATTGTCGCGCCCGCTTGTAGAACGCATCTGCATAGAAGTCGTATTTCTCATTTCCTTTTGATGCCGTAGCCCAAACAATGTACTGCAAGCACATCGGTGGCCGTTTGTTTGGCGGCCCATGTATGGCTTGTAGATACAGCGCGGGATGCAGTATCGGCATCGAATGGTGTTGATTTCGGAAATAAATGTCGTGCCTATGGAAACTCAGTACCAATTTCTATCCTGATAAGCATTTAAGGAACCACACAGTTCTTCCATTACTTCGAAGGGGGGCAGCGGCTCTGATACTCCGAGGTCTATTAGTTGGCCATCACAGACCCAGTCATAGCTAGACCCGGAGTTGGGCAACTCATATTGCTGTGCATCGACTGTGATACTCATCTCTCTGAGCAGACGGTCAGACGCGGGATTGGTGCGCGTAGTGCCCCGGCTCGTTTCACCATTGACTACATGTAGGTTCAGTTGCTTTTCAAGCCGGGCTAGCAAAGAAGGTGAGCTTTTGTATTGGAGACGTTTCGAAAGTCGAAGCCATTCAAGTACCTAGCTGTTCCTCCATTTCTTTCACATTCTTCCTCTTGAAGATGCGCTTCCTCCTCGACTCAGGATAGACGCAATCGCTATCGACCTTGGCGCATCGAAAACACGCCGGCATAGTACGATCGCACTTCAGCTTTCGAGCCCGGCATGAAATACACGACAGCTGTGAGAGGTCCGTCTCCGCCGGCCTTGACCCTTGACTTTCAGGCATGATTACCTGCAGGTTCGATCTGCCACTTTTCTCATACCGCTCAGGGCGGCGATGGAACGGCCGGAATCAAAACCCATTAATCGCAGGGCCTCTAGGTACGCTAGGTATGAACATTTAAGTTGAAAGAGCAGATTTGAGCCAAATGTTTGATGGCGCTTTGGTTTGTTGTTGCAATGTTACTGGTTCGGACTTTAGTCTTGCATTCTTGTCCGAGCTGACACACGTAACGGACAAGGCCGAGTGCCGAGCTGAACTCCTACACACGCACACATACGCCCTACCCTAGAGCCATCACCGCAACCTATTTGTCCCAAGTAAATCAAACAAAGAACTGACGAGCTTGTGCATAGAGAGAACTCATTGAATCTAGGTCAAGATCTTGGCGTGTAAATTCATATTTCGGCCTCATGGCTGTTGATTGGGTCAACGAGAATCAGCTTTCTCCAAACAACAGTCTAAAACGTTGATGAAGTGTCTTATGAGGGCCTCCAACATTTGGAACACAGAATTATTAACTTTTCAAACTCGATCGAGGCTTATGCTCTACTCAATGAGCACATCCAATTACATTTCACAGATACGCCCTTAGTTATAAGCACTCTCACCTAGATCCTAATCTACAACCGACTCTTCGCTTCCAAACACCTGCACATGGTGTCTCTCCAACCACGGAGATATAGCTTACCTTCAAGTCTTTTCCTAGAGTCTAGTGGTCCCCAACGGAGTCCCCATATTTACTGGATATATTGCACAGGATCAGGAAGTGTGTCAAATTTCTAGCTACAGGGAATGTCATTCCAGGGCTTGAATTTGGGCTAACATCACATGGAATTGGGAACTAAAGTCCGGTTCCGCCTTCCTCGACGTAATGTAAGAATTCTCTTCGCCTTGGGCCCAATGACGCAGGAAAGCTTGTTGCTACGCTAGACAATGCCTCGAACAAGACCCATTTTGATCACAAATGCTGCATCTAAACTGAATAAAGAGCTACAAATACAGCTTGAAATCGCGACCCCCTTCCTCCCAAGCAAATGGAATCTAAATGACCGTTGTAGTCCGTCTATTGCGGCGCCTGCATGGACGGCTAGGTGTTGGCATAGGAGTAGACGAAGAGCTTGTTGGTGTCAGAGATTCCAGTTGGGATGTGGTGGTTCCTGAGGGAACTGTGGAACTTGGGGTAGTGACTGTGGCAAGCGTCGTGGGCGTCGGGGTAGTCGTGTCAGATGGAGTCGGAGTGGAAGACACGTCAGTGGTAGCTGATGGTGTCGTTGAATCTGAAGGTGTTGTGGAGGCGAGGGTTGTTGAGTCCGATGGAGTTGTCGTCGCTGAAAGGACCGTCGAGGATGGGGTGGTAGGCTCTGGGGTTGATACAGGCGTGGTGGAGGGAACTGTAGATACTGGCGTCGATGTTGGGCAGGCGGGAGCATTCATGCTGAAATTGGCATTGTCGATATAAATAGTGAATGGGCCAGTTGGCGAGCCCTGGGTTGAGTATCTACAGTACCCGGTAATTACAATGTCCTCCACCAAATTTGGCGGAGTAAAGGAACCACTGTAGGTTACAAAGGGCGATGGAGTAGAGGTTGGGGCGAAGGCCACAGTCTTGTCAAAGATATAGTTGACAGTTTGGCAGTGGTACGCTTGGAAGGTGCAAACAAGAGGACCAGCATAGGGAGGATATGACGCGACTGCTATGTCGACGGAGAACGTGTAGGGCCTGCTTCGGTCAAGGGTGCCGCCACCCGCGGACTGGCGAACCGACCATGTTGCATATTGCGAGGGGCTAATTGAACTACATGAATCATCAAGTTAGCCACGATTATGTTGCTCTGGTAGTTGGCGTCGCAACACGACTTACAGGGACTGAGCACCATCGCTGCTAATGCCGCTCGCTATCTGGGGCGAGACATTGCTGCTGTACGTCCACCCGCTAGTTCCCAACTCCCAGGAGGGATTGAGTAATAGATTTGGCTGAGGACCGCACAGGTCTTGTTGACGCGGCACAATGCTTGCTGCCTGTCCCAGCGTTGGCAACAACAGCAGGCTGCCGAGGAAAAGAGGGTTGAGCATGGCGGAGAAGAGACGAGCTGGCAGTATTATAAATATCAGGAAAAAAGCCAAGGTTGATTGCAAATGAAGGATAGTGAGCGAATCGAAAGATTGGTAGCCTAATGAGTCGGCGGAATGGTTAACGAGTGTGAAGACGGCGTTCTCCCTACGTGAAACGAATGTTAGAAAACAAAACCACGCTCAGCCCATTGCAGGAAGGGCGGGAAGGATAAAAAGGAAAATAAAGGGAACAAGCAATAGCGGGCCAAGCACTAGTGGCATATCTTGTTGAATCTGATGATGATGTGGTTGGAGGTTAAGCCCACTTGGCCCATCGGCCCATCTAGCTGCATTCGCTAGGCCGATCCCAATAAACCACCAACTCAAGCAAACTATTGAATTTTTTAAAATTGCTCGTTCATTTAGCGTGATCTCTCTGCATTCAAGATAGACGCCCTGCTTTGTGATTAGAGATTGGGACGTAATAATGGGAGGCGACGATCGTCGATTACGAACTATTAGACCAGGCGTACACGAATCCCGAAGATAATGCAAGTAAATAAAAGCCAGATGCAACACATACAGGCTATAAATAGTGTCATGTACTTGCTTATCATTACCGAGCCCCAATTCTTCTCCTCATGGTCTTCTCCTCATGTTAGGATCTACACTTTGCCTAGGAGGTCATCACATTTCAATGTATATATGGCTTCCCAATGTAATACTAAACTTGTTCAGAAAAGACGGTTACATAACGTAACATACATACGCCCAAAAAAATATTATCCAAAATATTATCCAAAATATTATCTAAAATATTGTCCAACATATTTGCAATCATGCATTGCTAGTTGGGCAAAAATGATGGACGAACAGGGAATCGAACCCTGGACCACTCCCATGCTAAGGGAGTATTATACCACTAAACCATTCGCCCCGGAATAGATGAGTGACAAGTACGTTATTCCTATATAATAATCCCTGACCATAGAGCGTGACCAGTTCTTGACGGCGGGATACCGATCCTGCGTCTCGCGGATGTCTTCAGCGGGCGTCCTCACTAGCTAGGAGTGCTGGAGTCCGGTAAGAAAAACCTCCATTCTACTAAAACAGCAAAAGATCACTGAGCGGCGAGTAGATATGCACAACGCATCCCCTGCGACATGGTTGCTCAGCCGCAGTGGAGCAAGAATTTGATGTCAGCATCGCCACAAAGTGCTGGGCGCGACCTCATGCACACTTTCCACAACACCCATCCATGCCTCCTCCCATTGGCATCCAAGGGTTATTATGGGGGCAATTTTCTCAAAGATATGGTCTGTCATTTCGAGGTGCGTAGCGAGAACCACTTTCGCATATCCCGATGCTCTCGGCCGAGACAGTATCCGACTCGTCCATTTCATCAAGCCAAAGTGGTACTCCTTTGGTCTCCAGAGTCCCAGACTCGTGCTCTCAGCTTATCCCATACACGATTTGCCCAAGTTTGTTGCTCTTTCCTACACCTGGGGCCATCCCCATAATCAGAATCCCGGTGTGATCAAGGCATATCAGCAACACTTCCCCATCTACGTCAATAACCAACAATTCCTCGTCCTCAAAAATTTGAAGGAGGCCCTGTCTAGTCTGCTATGGTTTTGGGACTTCAATGATGATGTTCAGCATTTATGGATTGATGCTATTTGTATCAACCAAGACGACATCGCTGAACGAGCGGCTCAGGTGAGTATTATGGACCAAATATTCATGCGAGCGCAAACCACGGCAGTTTGGCTTGGGCAGTCCAACCCGGGGAGATGGGAAACCCTTAGATTCTTCGACAAGATGCTGAAGGTGCCAGCAGCAGATTTGATGCCTTATTATAAAAACTTCCCCAACGGTCCTCCTCCGCCACCCGAGTTCTGGGAACGTCATGGCCTGCCAAGAATTGACGATGCCAAGGCATGGAGGCCATTGACGCAGTTCTTTGAGCACCGTTGGTTCAACAGAGTCTGGATCATACAAGAAGTCACCCTATCTACGAAACAAGTTGCCTTGTTTTGGGGACATCATGCCTTACCATGGGTGGACCTTGGGCATATTTCTTTCGTTGGCCAGGTCGCCAAGGTTGGCAAACTTAACTCCATAATAGCTGCGGGACATTGTGACCCTCTCGATCAAGAAGCGAATCTGAAAAGAGATTGGGCTGTTTCTGACCCTTTGACGAATGCCTTTCAATTATATCACAGCCGACAAAGATATTTAGACAGATCTCAAGGGACTGCCGACGATACGCTGCTTGATGAGATGAAATCTCTTACTGGGGCTAAAGTCCCAAGTGCCTCATCCTGGCTGATGTATTTCTGCATGGTCAATCGATGGACAGATGCTTCAGATCCGAGAGACAAAATATTTGGCCAACTTGGACTTGTGAATCATATTGTCGAGCAAGATGGTCTTGAACCAAACAAGATTCAAGCCGAGTACTCATCGCATGTCACCCCGCATCAGGTGTACCAGCGACTCATGAGTCAAGTCACGGAAGAGACAGATAGCCTGGCCGTGTTGATGGCTCTGAATGACCCTCCGCAAGACGGCGACCATCATCTCCCGTCTTGGGTTCCGGACTTTTCAAGACGGCGCGGTCTCGATCTTATGGCATTGATTCGACCGCAATTTGATGTTTGCAAGTCGATTTCAAAACTGAATAAAACCGGAAGGAGAAGAATCAAGATTTCTGGTTCGACCATGCACGCTGAATCGATCAAGATTGGGCATGTAAAAACTCTCAGCGCCTCACTTGCCGACCTGATTGGGCCGCGATGGCATAGTTGGCCTCAAGACCTTTTATTTCTGGACCCGATCTACTCATGGACTGGGGAATCCCGCGTTGAAGCCTTTTGGAGAACTCTTTTGATGAACTCCGTGGGCCGGAACTACCCAGCTCGGTGGCCTGATTCACAAAACGGCGACATGTTTCGCGCCTATATTTTACAGAACATGGCGCAGCATTTTCCCGGAAGTGGCGATGCGCTCGACAGGTATCTTCCAGACCTTCAGGGGATCAACGAGCTTGCCAAGTCTGATTCCTCAGGACATTTGCCTTCGTTCACAGGTTTAGAAAGTCTAACGACACAAATTCTGAACATAAACTTGAACCATCCGGAGGCATTTACAGAAGAGTTGATGGCAACCAAGTTGGCCGAGTGTAGGGATAACGCCTCTAGATTCCTCATGGGGATGGACGGAAGTATGCTGAACAGAAGAATCGCCATCAGCAGCCAAGGGCATATTTGCAACGTTCCAATGCAGGTTGAATGCTCGGATATGATTGCGATCGTGAATGGCTGTCCATGTCCCCTTATTTTGAGACCGCGTGGGGATACTTATACTCTGGTTGGGACGGCATATGTTCACGGAATAATGTATGGGGAAGCTATGGATGGTGCTATTAATTGGGAGGAGATATGTATAGTCTAAGCAGGCTCATGTCATCAAACCCGTAGTGTTTATGTCGAAGTAAAAACCCATGAAACCCTTAGCTGCAGCCTCATGAGTCGGCCACTCAGTTGAAAAATAATAAATAATTGTTTGAATCTAGCAGCAGACGAACCTTGTAGCCAGTCTGAGGAAATATGTTGAGCACAATAACTCCGCCCTTCCCCACGATCAAGATCATCATCCGCCAAGCACATGTATTGCCACGGAGCGTGCACTATCTCAAGCGCCAACAATTCGAACAAATGTTCCTTGCTTGTTTCATCAATGAAGAGTAAACCCACATTGTGGACTCTCTTTATCGCGCAGCTTCAGCGCTCAGCTTCCGTTGCCCAAGTATGGAAGGTCTTAATAATATCCGGATACGCCGTCACAGATCAGCACCGACTGCCTAAGATCGGCACTGCACAAGCTGTTCCTATTTATATCTAGTAGCCAGCTCGCCCCAGTGCTCATCTCGCATGGCCCCATCAAGAGGCAGTGATAACCAAAGAACCGCCCATTTAGCACTAGGCGTATAGTTCTTCTTTCATATAGAGTAGGAGCCTTGATGCGGTGGCGCTACCCCTGCCTACTTAGTCCATATTTGACAGCTGGCTGACACTCCGCCATGTTGAAGGACCACAGTGACTATCCACATTCTCCACGCCACAGAAGATGAAACAGTGGGAAACTCCACGCCACGATGGGTTCTGGGTATAAAGAAAACGATCAAGTCCACTGACGAGGTTTGCTGTCTCCCCTCTCGAATCTCCATCTGCCGGTCTTGTGAAGTGAAGGGAACACAGTCCGCTCATTCGTCAAATAAGCATCGACAAAATGCGCTCCTCAGTTCTTCTTAGTCTCCTGCCCCTTGCTGCGGCAACCCCCTTTAGGCGGGCCCCGCTGCTGACTCGGGACAATGCTGAAGAGGGCAAATACATCATCGTCATGAACCAGGGAGTTCAAACCTCTTCCATCAGCTCAGTAGTCCAGTCCATCAGCGCCGATGCCGACCACGTCTACAATGCAATCGGCGGGTTTGCTGCCTCTCTGACGGAGAAAGAGGTTGAGACGCTCCGCAACGACCCCAACGTCCGTACCACCTGCTCTTCAAGTTACGTTGACTCCTTCACTTACTGATTTCCTTTGAACAGGTTGCCTATATCCAGCAGAACGGAAAGGCCAGCATCTTCGCCACACAGCAGAACGCTCCGTGGGGTCTGGCTCGCCTCTCCAACCGCCAGCCAGGTTCCACCACATACACCTACAATGAGAACGCCGGTGACGGTGTCTGCGTGTACGTGGTTGACACGGGTATCGACATTAAGCACCCTGTATGTTATCCTCACAGAATCAGTTATGCGGCGTTGTCTTCTAATAATGATCGTCCTTAGGAGTTCGAAGGTCGTGCTACTTGGGTAGCCACTGTGTTCGGCGACGTCAGCGAGGATGACCACGGTCATGGAACTCACTGCGCGGGTACTGTTGGTGGAAAGACTTTTGGCGTTTCCAAGAAGTCCAAGTTGTTCGCCATCAAGGCCTTCGATGCTTCCGGCGATGGCTCTGAGTAAGTGACTGATCAAAACGCCCTACACACAGGCCTATCGCCCTTACTAATAATTTAAATAGTGCTTCCATGATTGCCGGTATGGAAAAAGTCATCGAGGACGCCCCCACCCGAGACTGCCCCAACGGCGTTGTTGTCAGCATGTCCTTCGGTGGTGACAAGTCCGAGGCTGTCAACGCCGCTGGCAAGGCTCTGGTTGACGCCGGCTTCTTCGGTGCCGTCGCTGCTGGCAATGGAGACTTCCTCGGCCGACCCCTTGACGCCGGTACTGTCTCTCCTGCCTCAGAGGAGACTCTTTGCACGGTTGGTGCCACCGACAAGAACGACAAGACTGCCTACTTCACCAACTACGGCAAGGTCGTCGACATTTTCGGCCCTGGCGTTGATGTTCTCAGCGCCAAGCCCGGCAACGGCAGCCAGACCATGAGCGGCACTTCTATGGCTACGCCTCACATTGCCGGTCTCGGTGCCTACTTCTTGAGCCAGGGAACCCCCGCCAAGGGTCTTTGCGAGCACCTACAGAGTATTTCTCTCAAGGGTGTGATCAGTGCTGTCCATAACTCCACTGTAAACTATCTTGCCCAGAACGGCGAGGCTGCTTGAATCGTGGCAGGGTTTGGTTCTTGGGAAGAGAGGTTTTGATGACTGTATTTCTCTTACTTTTGGGCTGGGCTAGGCTCACGGCGTAAAGGAAAGACTTATTTGTTAATTTCTTTTTGGGTTATACTAGACTTCTTCCTCCCTTTTATGTAACAAATCTATCCTCACACGGCAGACGAATTTGGGTACCGGTCAAAGCTAGACCACTATCACAATCAATGTAATTGAAACTATCAATCTCAAAGTAATGGTATCTCAAAGAAGTAAATGAGAGCAATCGCGGGTATGGAATCAGCTGTGTGGTTTGCGGAATGATCATTGGTCATCTGCATAAAAGAACTGGTGGGCGTCTTCAAAGGCACTATAAATCTCTGCAACCATACCAGTCCCATCGCGTGCGTACACCGGGTTGTGCGACGCACCCTCAGTCACATGGAGCTTGACTCGGTTGCCTTCTACCTCAGACATTTCCTGTGCAAAGTCTCGGGTTGACTCATACAGGCCCTCGGCGTCACCCGTATGAACAAAGAGCGATGCCTTTGTTTTGAATGCATGGTGTAAAGGGCACAAGTAAGGGACCACTTCTTTGGATAATGAAACCGGGAAGTAGGCCTCAACTCCCCATTGGAGAAGTTTGGTCGGTAGAAGATCCGCGCCTGCATTCTTGGCCTGGTCGTATTCCTCTTTGACCCTCAAAGACGGGTTGGTCCAAGGTGACCATAGCATAACACCCTTCGGCGAGGGAAGGACAGATGTTTCCTCAAGATAGCGGACGAAACCGGTCAGAATATTGGCACCAGCCGAGTCCCCGGATAACAAAATATTGCTTGGGTCATACCCCATGTTCAAAACATGGTGATAAAAGGTGACCAGGTCTTGCATAGGTGCTGGAAATCTGGTGCTCTCATCTTCCGCAACACGGTATTGTGCAAAGAAGAAGCGATCTGCCTTGAGTTTCTCCAATACCGGTTTGCTGAAATTTTGTCCGTTGACATCAGCACCGAAAGCCATGACGAAGGCACCACCAGGAAAATGCACCACGATTTTCTCTCGCTTGACATCGCTAGTTGATGACGGTGGACCTGGATACCACAGGCCACCAACAGAAGCAGGGTTTGCGGTAGCCTGAGCTGTCAAAACACCGGTATAATGCTCGATACCAGCGGGCTGAACCTGGGTACACCGCTCCTTTATCTTTTTATGGTCGGATTTGACGGTGTCCATGCCGCTGGAGCGAGTTTGAGCTGCAAACAAGAGCCATTCGCGGACCAAGGAGTTTATAAGGGTGATCTTAAAGCTCAGTCTGCCTAGAGGCCGGAATGACTTGAATGCGAAACGGGTGCCAAGAAGCAACATCAATGGTACTTTGACCATCAATATCGCGACATATATAGCCTTGAAGGGCTGCTTCGACCACACAGGGGCCATTGTGATTTCTTGATTTTGTGCAATAGTTAATTGACTGGATTAGAACAGCGCTGGTGAGACGAGCTTGCTTCACCCTGATGAGATAGTGTGGAGGAATGAAAAATTGTTCAGGTCTGTCATGTTAGTTTAAATATATCCATGATTTAGTGCTTGCATAAGCGTAAGCAACCACCCTTGCAAGCCGCGTGTTGTAAGATTGAGATGCAATCATATTCTAGGATCGGGGTTTAACGGAGTACGTTTTCCGTTCTCCATGTCTTACGCCCAACAAGGATCCCCAGAGTAGCTGAACCGACAAACTGAAGCTATCACAATGGAGAATGGCTTCACGCAACTGACAATATGGATTTCATCAAAGGGCCATAGCCTGGACTTCTCGATTGGGTTCTTACATGCTCAGGGTATCATAAAGATATTACAATGGGTCCTACGGCAATTGAAGTTCCACTTTCAGTATGTCCGTTATGGTTCTGTTATCGCAATGCAACAGGCCACGGGGATGAGATAAGACAATCCAACTTATACTAACATCCCATTTATCCTGGTGTTTCTGTTCTTGTCTTATGAATTCAGACAACTTCCACTTTTTTGCGTTAAGTCAACTATGATTTGGCACGTTGGTAGAAACTATGATTGATTCTTACTAGAGGATAATTCTATTTTGATGTCGCGATGTAGCCTATTTGAATCATCGCTTTGATAAACGAGACGACAGAGCGAATGGCTACTGGTGTGATACTGTTCTCACTATCAAAAGATGGATCATATGAGGCAACAGTCAAAGACAGTGGCTGAGTCCGGTTAGGGATATCCGTCAGACACCCCACGAGCTCTTCCTCCAGAAGCCCACCTGGGGCAGAGAATTTATTCACGCGCCCAACAGATACATCCAGACTGTCCAAGTCCACATGGATCATCGATGACGCCAAGTTTTTCTCCGCCATGACTGATCGAAGCTCGCTTTGAAAGTCCACCTTATTCTCTGCGTCACCCCAGATGACTGTAAATCCAGCTTCAATCACCCGCGATCTCTCCAGCTCGGTTACATCCCTCATTCCGCAATGGATAAAGTTCTTAACCAGATCCATCGGCGTAAAGCCCGGAACACTCTTCAGCAACGTTTTCCAGCACAAGTCG